AAGCAATACCCTTTTTAAATCATAACGGTAGTACAACTTACTGGAAGAACCAAATCTATCTCTATGACTGTCGTGTTCTTTAACGCAAACGGCATCATAGATGAAAAGGAAGAAATCGTATACTTTTTACGCGACCACGGTATCCACATCATGCTAGTGCAAGAGACTTTCTTGAAACCTAGCGTGCGCGATCCCAAAAGAGCTAATTATACCTTAGTAAGAAATGATAGGCTCACCGGACCTAATGGCGGCACTTTGATGTTTGCACTTGGACAAAAGGTCCTTGCAATGTGTCCCAATAGGTACTCCACCGCTTGCTAACTTAGAAGCATCGGTTTGTAGGATAGCACTTGCGGGCCATCCACCCATTATAATTGCATCGGCATATCTGTCACCATTAAAACATAAATTAAAAGCCTAATAAAAATCGCGGGAGACCTAAACAGTAAACGCTTAAGTTGGAATTCTAACGTTAACAACCGAAACGGAAACGTTTTATGTGACCTCATGGAGAGACTCCTTTCGACGATATCGCTCCCGAGAGTCCAACTCGCTAGACTTTTGCTCTAACTCAAGTACCGGATGTCCTTGATGTAGCATTACTAAAAGATATCCGGCTCAATATCAACTCGATTGAAACATTCATCGAATTAACCTCGGACCACAGGCCGGTCGTATTACAACTGGACTGGTCGGCAGGTGAGGTTCCTCAGACCCAAACCATCGTCGACTGGTGTAGACTTGAGGTCAAACTCAAGTCTACGAACTTCCAGCACTTAGACACTATGCCGGACAAGATAAACACGCCGGAGGAAGCCAATAGAGCGATTAGCGCACTATCGACTCACCTCACTTCAGCAGTCGAAGAATGCTCCCGTATGGTTCTTGTATCGAGTGATCGGTACACGAAGCTTCCGGCAGATGTTCGACTACTGATTAGAGCGATGAACACCGAGCTAAAATCTTACGATCGTTATCGCACGAAAGATAACAAAATTCGGCTAAGTTTTCTACAAAACTAGATTAAAGAAGGAATAGAGTCTTCTCAAGACGCCTTTTGTAAGCTCACTAGAGCTTTAAAATCAGAGAAATATCCTCCCATGCCGCCTCTCGTGAGCTAAGACCGTCCTGATCTCAACTTAGATGAATTCGAAAAATCCGAATGCCTAGCCAACAGTCTAGAGAGCGGATATAGATAGTGTATACCCCTATCCAACGTACAAACAGATCCCGCTCACCTACTAGAGGTAGAAACGGAAGTCGAACCTTGGTCTGTCTTACCACCAGCGGGCGACCCAATCGATCCCGTGACTTTTGATGAATTCAGAGATACGATAAAAAGCCTAAAGAATAGATCAGCCCCTGGGCCAGACGGTGATCAAGGTGATCAAATCTCTTCCGGCACCACTGATTTACCTCCTCGTAGATATATTCAACGCGCTGCTCTGCAGCTGCTCCTTCCCGTATATCTGGAAAGAAGAAGGCGTAATAGGAATCCCGAAACCAGGGAGACCGCGAAACCGACCCAACACATTGGGTAAACTATACGAGCGCATCATTCAATAGCGCCTCCATCTCCGTTTACTATAATTAACAGACTTCTCCCCGATGAGCAGTTTTACTTTAGAGCCGAACACTCGTGCTCTCACCAAATTCATCGCCTAACAGAATATATTCAGTCTGGTTTTAATCACCAATCGACAAAGAAAAGGTCTTGACACACCGGAGCCCGCTTCTTCGATGTCGCAAAGGCATTTGATAAGGTCTGGCACGACGGCTTGCTCTACAAGCTGTATAAACTTAACATGCTCGTACACATCATCTGAGCTTTTCTTGCAAATCTCTCATTTCGCTATCGAGTAGAGGGAACCCGTTCTTCGAAACGTTTTCTAAAGGCCGGGGTCCCACAAGGCTCCGTCCTGTCTCCACTTCTCTTCACACTCTTCACGAGTGATATCCTCAAGGACCCAGTGGAAAGCACTGCTCCCTTCGCCGACAATACGGCACTCTTTTTATCTGACTATAACAGAAAAATTCTCACTTTGAAACTCCTAAAAGCTGCCAACTGCTTAGGCAAATGGTTCCGCTTATGGAGAATCGAAGTGAATTCCACTAAGCTAGATACTATCTCCTTATACGGCCGCCTTGGGAAAACTCGGCCAAAAATCTGGGAGTCACCTTCGACGTCCGCATGAGTTTCGCAAAACACATAAGTGTAATTTGCAACAAAGCCAAGACAGTCATTGGCTATCTCCACCCTCTTGTCAACAGGAAGAGTAAATTGTTGCTAAGACACAAGCTCCACATGTACAAAACCTGCGTTAGACCTATAATAACACGTATAATACCCACCTATACGAACTACAGAAAGTTCAAAACTTTTTCATCCTAAAAGCCACCGGAATACGGTGGTATCAACGGAATTCTAAACTGCACAATAATTGTCAACTTCCTACTATCTCTGAATACTTTAAAGAGATGTCTCATACGCTACTTTGATAGCGCGGAAATCCATACAATCCCGCTAGTGGCTAACGTAGCCAAGTACGTCCCGACACCAAACGTCACGCGGACTCTCCGTAAACCTAATAACGTACTCATAGAACAACCAAGCTCGATCCTGTCAACCCAAACGTCGCAGGCAGATCAAACACTGACCCGATACCCACACCAATTGGGACAAATACAAGTAGGTTAACGGATGAGACACGTCGCACCCGTAGGCGGGCACGACGTGTTCCAGCACACACCGCGTGCACACCGTACGAACGCGTACCTGGGCGGTTCTCACCACCCAGAACATTGACCGATACAAGCTAAGCAGTTAGAAGCGAGGGTACGCACACTCCCACTCGGACAGCGGTTAAATAGCTCAAAAAGAACTCCAACAGAGGGGGCATGATGATTGATAACAATACCAATTCATAAACCATCATTATCCTCATCCCCATCCTAATTACCGCTTTTCCCCTTCTTAAATAGCTCGTTATTTTGCTAATTAACGTTGTAAACCGAATCACACACAGAGGAGCGCCTGTACGCTTAGTATTTGCACATAAATCACACTTTACTTGTATTTTCAATAACTGCAACAACGGTTTATCCTTACTTATATATTTGATCTTAAATTTAAAGTTTTCGCTAATCTGAAAACTAACCCAGTATCTTATTTTAGATATACTTTTTTTATTTTAGAAAAAAAATCCGGACAGGAGCAAACTTTGAGTTCCATATTTATACAAATAAATAAAATTGAAGTATCTGTTTGTTATGTTAAAATAATAGCTTTTTACTAAATGCATATGAAGTATTTACGGTACTTATAACAAAGAAACAACTTTTAAAATTTTACCTGTCTGCCTGTCTGCTCGTTCCTGCTAATCTTCGAAACGGCTAGACCAATTTTGACGGGATTTTCACTGGCAGATATTTTATGTTATAAGTGTGATGTATGTCGGTAGATCGTACAATATAAGTATGTGCATTTATATATTTTTCTATGTAGGTAGGCAGTTGCATCTGCCACGTTAGATTGCGATAAATGCCGTTACGCAAGGACGTGTTTTATTTCTCAGTGGCGACGAGTTAATTCGAATCCAGTTCAGTGAAGTGCATACAAGATGTCGATCGGCCGAATAACCGAGTTCAATGTTAATTCCGACAATTGGAAATTTTACGTAGAACGCCTCGAACAATATTTCGTAGTAAACGAAATTAAACCGGAAAGGCAAGTACGAACACTTATTACTGTGATGGGAGCCGAGTGTTACGAACTTTTGGTTAACCTTTGTACACCGGAGAAACCGTCGAATAAATCGTTCAAGCAATTAACAGAAACTTTCGAAAGATATTTACAGCCCAAACCCAGTATACTTTCGGAGAGATACAAATTCCGCCATCGGAAGCAAAATAGCAACGAATCAATCTTGGAATACGTAGCCATTTTGAAAAAAATGTCAAAGACATGTGAATTCGGTAACTGGCTAGAGGAAAGTTTGCGGGATGAAATGGTATGCGACGTCAGCAGTGAGTCCATACGGCAACGGCTGTTCACGAAAGATAAAATCGATTTTGGAAAAGCATACGCCCTGGCGATCAGTATGGAAGCGGCGGAAAAAGACGCGGCAGCAGTGGAAGGTCGAGCGGACACGTCGGGCGGTGACATCGCAGCGTGCCAGGCGGTTGCGGGCACGTGGCGGGACTATAGTGGTGGTGGCGGTGGCAGCGGCACTGGCCGCGCCCGGCGCGCAGAGCGGTGGCGGCGCCGAGCCGCGGGCGCAGCGCGCACCTGGGGCAGCGAGCCGCCATGCAAAAACCGCGCCACATCACCCAGCAGCAGCAGTGTAGTGCATGCGGTGGTAATCACGACAGTTTGCGATGCCAATTTGTGCGATACGTGTGTCGAGTGTGCAACAAACAGGGGTCATTTAAGTCGGGTCTGCCCTTATTTGACGGATCACCATACCATCGAGGTGATAAACTCCGCCCCACCTAAAGAGGGGGACAGCGGGGAGAGTGATGAGGTAATGATAAAGAACATTCATCAATTATCTAATCAATTAATGTGTAGCCCCATTATGATAGTGCTCAATATACACGGCAAAAATGGAATAACACTATGGAATGTGACACGGGCAGTGCAGTGTCTTGCATAAGTTACGAAATTTATTTAAAGTTATTTAAAGATTTAGAGAAATAAGGAATCTAACATGATGTTAAGATACTATACCGGAGAGTTAGTTCAACCCGTAATGTGTAATAAAACCTTTAGTTTTGTATAATGATAAGAAGAAATATTTGAACTTGTATGTACATAATCGTTATAGAGGGCGCTAAAACTTCGCTACTGGGTAGGCAATTGTTAATAGAGCTCAGTGTACAACTTCCCAAATTTAATTGTGTGAATAATGTAAACGAAGAATTCAATTTGGATGCTTTCAGTTCCAGATACTGTGAAGTATTTGTGGACGGTCTAGGGTGATTCACGGGCGGCACAGTTCATGCGCGCGCGGTCCGTGGCGTACGCGTTGCGGGCGCCCGTGGAGCGCGCGCTGCACGACATGGTGCGCGATGACATCCTGACTCCCGTTGACCGCTCCGACTGGGCCACATCTATTGTTGCCGTGGTCAAGAAGGATGGTAACATCAGAATTTGCGCTGATTACAAGTTAACCTTAAATAAAGTCATTGAAGTCGATCGTTATCCTTTACCAAAAGTAGAGGACGTGTTAGCTCGCCTACATGGGGGAGAAAAATTTAGTAAAATCGATTTGTCACAGGCGTACGCTTAATTTGAGTTAGACGAATCGAAGAAATATACGGTTATTAACACCCATAAGGGATTGTTTATGTATAACCGGCTAGTCTTTGGTCTTTCATCGAGCCCAGGAATTTTCCAAAAACCTTTAGAACAATTATTTGCTGATATACCTTATGTAGGTGTTTTTCTCGATGACATAGTCGTAACGAGAAAAGTGGCCCAGGATCATATAAATAATTTACATAAAGTGTTTGAGCGACTAAAGTCACACGGTCTACGTGTAAAAAAGAAAAATGTGCTTTCTTCGAGGACTGCGTAACATACCTTGGCCACGTTATTGATAAAAACGGAATTAGAACCTGCCCCCACAAACGTTTCGGAGTTGCGTACCTTCATAGGCATGGTCATGTATTATTCCAAATTTATAAAAAGCGTAAATACAATATTAGCACCTCTGTATAATTTATTACGGGCTAATGTTAAATTTGTGTAGATTAAGGAGTGTGAGATAGCATTCACTGGTATAAAACAGAGATTAGGTTCGAGTGAGGTGTTAGTGCATTACTCGCTGGATCTGCCGCTGATTTTGACGGCGGACGCGAGAGGCGTGGGGATAGGTGCAGTCCTCTCGCACGTGACGCCGGACGGCGAGCGGCCCGTGGCATATGCTTCACGGTCGCTTACCAGCGCCGAACGAGCCTACGCTCAAATAGATAGGGAGGCTTTAGCTATAGTATACGGCATTAGGAAATTTCATCAATATTTATATGGCCGCAAATTCACTCTCAGAACTGACCATAAACCTTTAACATACATATTTGGGAGCAAAGTAGGTATTCCCTTAATGGCCGCGTCGAGAGTGCAAAGGTGGGCTATTTTGTTATCGGGCTATAGTTATGAAATAGAATACGTCGCGTCGGAGAAAAATTGTGCAGATGCGTTATCAAGACTACCTCAAACCGGTTCCGGGCGTTCTGGTACCGAAGAAATAACCTATTTAAAGTATGTCGAGCAGTTTTTACCTATAACCCACGATGACGTCAGAGTTGCTACATCTAAGGATGCCCTTTTGTGTCGAATTATGTTACATGTTCAATCCGGCTGCCAAAATAAATGCAAGGATGAACAGATTAAACATTTTTACAATAAACGTTTTGAACTGTACATTGATCGCGGTTACCTTATGTGGGGCTATAGATTAGTCATATCTCAAGGTTTAAGAGCTAAGGTATTATCACAATTACATATAAGTCACATGGGTATAGTTAAAATGAAGTGCATGGCTCGCAGCTACGTTTGGTGGCCCAATATTGACGCAGATTTAGAAGCAATCTGTAAACAGTGCGAAACCTGCGCGGCCGAGGCGCAGGCGCCGCCGCACGCCCCTCCGCAGTTCTGGCCATATCACACTCAGCCTTGGAGTAGGGTTCACGTTGATTTTCTTGGACCACTGTTTGGGAGAACTTACCTAGTAGTCATAGACGCGAGTTCATTTTTGAGATGCATAAAACGAATGCAACGGCTGTAATAAAAGTTCTTCGAGCAACGTTCGCACGGTTTGGACTACCAGTGGAGATCGTATCGGATCAAGATCCCCCGTTCACAAGCAATGAGTTTCAGACATTTTTAAATAATAATGGCATTCGGCAATCTTTTTCACCCGCCTATCACCCGTCATCGAACGGAGCGGCCGAAAACGCGGTTAAACTTTGCAAACGGGCACTTAAAAAAGCAAATAGGGAATCGGTCGACATGGATGCCGCTATGCAAACATTTTTACTGAGCTATAGAAATAGTGTGCATAGTAGCACAGGCGACACACCTGCGATGCTACTGCAGAGGCGGTCATTGCGTTCGAGATTAGACCTATTGCGTAGCGACAGTGCTCGTGAGCAGTGCGTGCAGCGCGCACAGCACCGCCAACTAGCGCACGCTGGCGGTGTGCCGCGGGCGCTTGCGCCCGGCGATACTGTCTGGGTTAGGGGCTACGGAAGTTCAGAGAAGTGGCAAAAGGGTACCGTAGTAGGTAATGAGGGCTCACGTCGTTATTTGGTAAATAGTGATAACGGTCGACTGAAGACATATTGACTTTGGTAGACGCCGGGCGCGAATGTCGGATGTCCCTTATCCTTCTAGTATAGAATGTAACGAAGATATTGAAACCGGAAGCGGGAGTCAGGAGGGCGTATTGCGCTCAGAATTTGGGTCGGAGGGGAACGTTGTGAGCGATGGTGGGGAAGGCACGTTTGGCACTCCTACGAGTGACAAACAGGTGTCAGTACGTTCCTCACCAAACACTACACAGAGAGAGTCGAGTCCAACGCAATCACCAGTCCTAAACTCACCATGCATTCCTGTGAATCGTCCCAAACGAAACCGTAAACCTGTTCAACGTTATGGGTTATCATAATCAAATTAATACATCATCAATTAATGTGTTACCTATAAGTTAAAATATTAATGAGTTACCTATTAGTTAATATAAAACCTACACTGTTGTAATTTAAGTGGGGAGGAGTGATGTATGTCGGTAGATCGTACAATATAAGTATGTGCATATATATATTTTTCTATGTAGGTAGGCAGTTGCATCTGCCACGTTAGATTGCGATAAATGCCGTTACGCAAGGACCTGTTTTAAACACATTGTAACAAATTCCACGCGGACGAAGTCGCGGGGAACAGCTTGTTTAATAATAAAACAATACACTCAAGATATTATTCCGTCATAAATGTTCATATAAAAAAGGACCAGGCTATAAAAATTTTATTGGGCTACGTTTACTACCTTTATCACAAGGTCTCCACAGATAGGACTTGTTGAATTGATGGCGTTGCTTTTTAACTTTCAAAAAGTGTTTTGGAACGGTCAAATTTGAATAAAAATATTTTTTCAGCACTACACAGCATTAAGCTCCTACTTTACGCTGGTATTCTGTGAGAGCATGGTCCTTTCCCGGTCGAGCCGACGCATTCGTGCTGTAACCATAATATAGTTGCAGCGTGACCCTGCCACGTTGTAAAACGTCTACATTTTAAAACGTCCACGTTGTCACCATCACACGGCTAACTTTTTGTGTGTATAACTATTCTGTGTGTCAATATACACTCTTTACAGTAAGAAGTGATTCACTATGCCACAAAATTATTGTTACATTTCTCGTTGTCGCAACTATATTATGTTATTATAATATTAGGTTATTATAACTCTATTTCCTGCGAGTTGACCATTGATAACAAATTATGTATATATTTATTTAAAAAAAATAATTTAAATTTTACGCAATGTTCATCATACTTCAGCCGTATTCGAAAGAGCGTCCTATTAAATCTTTGAAGGATCCTAACTATCAATACTAATTACACAAACCAAAACATAGATTTTAATTAGAACAGAAATCCAAGAATTGATCCAATCATATTATACACATTATTTAGATTCACGTGGTAGTAAAACTTGGACTTCGTACATTTAAATAGCCCTGAGAACACTATTAATGCTTTTACAGCGGTAGTTAAGGACCTCTAAAGAAAACTGTCGCCAATACCTTAAATCCTAATCCAGACAAAGGAAACTACAACGATTTATTCGTCTGGAAAAATCCGATAAGTCTATCTATATATACGGTGTAGTACTCATTAAAATTATTATATTATTAATCTCTTTTTTGTATTTCAGTTTTATAGTAACATTTTTTTATTTTAGTCTTTAGAGGTGAAAACGCATCTGTAACCTACTTTATTTTAATTTGGTAGGTGTACATGGACTGCAGTATACTCTTGCTATCAGTCACTTCTATTTAATTAAAAAAAAAAACAAGTTGCAATAAGTTTTTTTGCAAGAGACTGCTTCCAGCAAGTACCAGAGGTCTTTATGATTGTAGTAAACTTGAAACATAAAACGCGAATGCGGAAATGCGTCAAGCATGACATTATTTATGTAATTTTACACAATAATTATTTACCGTGTGTCTAGTTATTTCTAGTAGGAATAAGAAAATACAGATAAAATATATTGCTTTGAATACATAGCACTTTTAGGGACTTTCTGTCATTAGTAATTGCATTGATTATCTTAGCTATTCGCTGTGAACAATTCTTTGCGTTATAAGATTTCTGGAAGAAATCGCTTACAGAGCGATAAGACCGCCCTTTGTACTTTTTTATTTTGTTTTTGTTTCAATTTGTATTCTTTCAGAAAACAAGAAATTGGTGTACCTTAAAAAACATATTTATAAATTGAAAACGCATTTAAATATTTTACAATTTTATATTAACCTTCATACTGTTAGGTGTAGAGTATCCAAAATTCACTACATATATGTTAGATGTTATCTACGTAGTAGAGCCATGCTGCAGCTATAGTAGTATAGTTGTCGCACGAATGGGTCGGCTCGACCGGGGAAGGACCACGCTCTCACAGAATACCAAGGTAAAATAGCAGCTTGACACTGCTGTGTTCCGTATGGTGAGTGTAGAGAACCGGAGACCCATTTTACTGGAAACGAGGCATTCCATCTTAGTCCTCACGGCTGACGACGCATCTGCATTTTGATTCCTTATTGAGGATAAATGTAGACGTCTATGGGCCGCAGCAACCACTTACCATCAGGTGGACTGTGTGCTCGTTTGTCACCCTATCCTAAAAAAAATCGTGTAGCTAAGTATTTAATCGAAATCTTGTAGAGTTGTCAATCATATAGTTAAAACATGGCAGAAACTCAAACATTTTTAACAAACAACATAACATCTTTAATTTTACCGATTTTTAGGTAGAATTTTATCGATCCACAATTTAAAGGGAAAAGAGACAGATTTTGTTAAGTTTTAAATTATTTTTTTATCCATAACTAATCTAATTTCGTTTTAAGTGTATACTCATCACCATACATGTTAGAAATCCAATTTTTCCCCACACAAACATTATACCCTCATTTTAATTTCATTTCATTCATTAAAATTTTATGGCTAGATTGTCGAAAAATTAAGAAATGCGTATTTCATAATTTTAATCCAAAAGTAATTGTACCA